TGTAGTCCATCAGTGAGATAGCTCGGTATATGCCAAGGCGATGGCCTAGGAGACATAACGTAGAAAGCATCCAGCTATAAATGACTTTCATGAGTGTACGGAGGAATAAAAATCCAAAAGCATGGCAAAAATGAAAAAGCTTTTAACATAAAAATAAACGTAAAAATTGTATATTGCAGGACTTGCGCGTGATTCGCTAATAGGTATAGATCAACAACCGCGCGATATGCATATAAATGTTCATACCTACCCATTAACGAAAAAATTACGCTGCTTCCCTTATCACTTTGAAATTCTAATTAGTATCCTATTATAGTTCAATTAGTTTCCACTAACGAGCACGTTCATATGTGGACGCATCGGATTTCCTCTCTCGGCGCATGACATTACACGGCTGGCCAATATAGCTGAGAGGCTGAGACCATGGAACCCAAATGTCGTTATTTACATTGCCGAGCTCGTTGGCAAAATTTGATCATGCCTAATGTGAATAAGCTCGGGTCTCGGGCCAGATTTATTCCCGATACCGACTCTGATGACGCAGCCTAGATTGTTCGCGAGTCCGACTATGCCCACACTGATGACTAGCCAATGAGAATTAATTGTCACCTTGTGATCTATCAATTCACTCAGGTTGGTGATACAGATGTCAATATTTGTCCAATATTCTTGTTGATTTCGCCCTTACCCAGTTTGATGATGCACCAGTCGTGGCCTGGTATTCGCTTGCGGCGTGTCTCCCAGCCGTCCATCCACTTCCCTTCGGAGGAGAAGAGGCCCTCCTTGAAAATCGGCTCCGTGGCCTGCGGAAAACTGACCAGTCAAATTTAGCATACCATTACCTATATTAAGAATTATTGAGAGATGCCAATGTTGACAATCAATGGTATTAGCCGTTTTCACGACGGCCATCTGGTACACAGTTGGTGCACATCTGGTACAGATTAGGTGCAGATTTGGTCAAATCAGGTTCAGTGTGTCTCTTAGTAGCTATCAGCTAGGGCTGCACTATTTGCTTATATGCCTGCTTTGTCATAGTATCAGAAAGTATCATCGATTAAAACACTGAAATAAATTAGCAAAATAAAGATATTTGCTGTAAAAGAGATTAGGTGCAGATTTGGTCAAATCAGGTGCACTCGCCGGATAGCCCGTCGTGATAACGGCTATTATCTAGCCCGTAAAATTGAAATGTGGGTGTTCTTTAGCAAATTGCAATATATTATCTAACTGTGCCTCGTGTTGTGCCATTGAGAAGGAGACAGACACTGACCATTTCCAGCGCTAAGCCCGGTTTTCACGACCTGAACCTATGAGCTGTCAGATGTCCGGCAAAGCTTGCCGAGGCGAGCATCTCACCTATCATCTCTGAGTTTTATCTGCTCTTTAGCCCTGTCGTGTTACACAGTCTTGCCGCTTCAAAAGGCATTGATGTAAGACTTCACCTACCTTAAGGCTGTCTGAGTTGCACGGGAGAGTTATCAGTAATTTTATTCCCGGATCTTTATGGGGCTAAATACTTCAATAGATTACCGAGATAATTCAGCACAAATGACGCCTTGACGTGTCATCTGACAATTGTGTCACCTACCTTGGTCAGGTTTTCGGCGGCAGCAAACCAGTCATCGGTGGCAAACAAAATTTCGCATTCCTGAAAGAATAAAGCATTGTCATTGCTCGACACGGCATGTACCGTAGACGACTTCACAAGTATACATGTAAATTCATGGGTGGAGAATGTTTGAAAAAGTTACCCCGGCCGGCGACCGATAGTCGCGGGAAGACGATATACTCACGTTGTTCTCAACGGTCATCATCAAACCCCTATTCTGACGCATGGAATAGGATGCTGTGTTTGCTCAAGGATGAGCGTTGTATCCGACACCGTATTATTCAGAACATTTTTGGAATGATCGAAAAGGCAATTTCCTTTTAAATTATTATTTCTTTTTGCTTAAACTTGCAATTTCACACCGAACCCAAACCAAACCATATGCCATTTTGAGTACCTACCTAAATGTTGCGTTTTCAGCTTTTTATTGTGTCTCAAAATAGCTACAAAAAGACAACTCACCATAGTAGAAGCTTTACAGAGAAATTGACAGATCGAACCAAGCAAAGCACTAAAATAGGTCACTGACATCCACGGGCGTAGCCTTTTTCAATGTTGGGCGGCTCTTATAATACAAACAGGGAGTCGATCCAGGAATATCGACCGGTCCCGGTCTCGTAGCTCAGTTGCTAGAGCGTTGGATTCCGCGTGGCGAGAGCACGCGGCCCGGTTACAACAGTCCGAGTTCGAAGCATGATGGCCGCTCGGTGTTTATGAGCACCCTGACGGGTACGCTCATAAACGGGTGTGGTTGCGGTTGGTGGCAGGTCAGTTGTTAAGGCAATGAGGTCAAGCAGTAGTTTTGAAAAAGTGCGCCGAAGGCGCGCCAAAATTTCGAAACTGAACAGGATTTGAGAGCAATCTTGGCATTGGCGACCACACGCGGGTCTTAGGGTTGGAGATTATGGCAAGTTAAGTAACTGGTAAATACCTACCTGATTTGCAATATTACGCCCATGGAAGTCAACATTCGAAGAGCGTGAGTTTTCTTTTCTCGTATGGAGACAGCTTTTAGGATTTACAAGAGTAGAAAAGTTACCCCGGCCGCGCCGGGGTAGGCTGAAAGTTACCCCGGCCACGGCCGGGGTGGCCGGGGCAGGTTCTCCACCCATGTGTAAATTACCTAATGATCCGAAAATGCCTATCCTTATGGCAATGATTGTAGCTGTGGTCAACTACCACCACGTAACTATGTATCACATGCCGCATGTTTCATTACAAACCGTAATTGAAGCTGCTGAATTGTATAGACTGCGTGGTCAAAACCAATTTACTAAAACAATTTGACCGCATGTTGGTTGCAACAAAAAAAGTGTTGCAAAGCTTGACAATTTGTTAAGTAAGTATTCAAAATAATCGGACCATCTTTTGACAATGAGACCACAAAAAAGATAAAAATGAAACGCATTGGTATAATCGAAGCATTATGCTTGTTAAACAAGGATCAGACATCATATCTATAGCATCCGATATGATCATTAGTCGATAATGCCACCTCGATCGATAAGACGTTTCCTGCGTGCAGGGATGCGGAGCCGTGGAAATTTCAGACGGCTCCGGCTCCGGCTCCGGCTCCGGAGAAAAAAATCGGCTCCGGCTCCGGCTCCGGCTCCGGGTGAAATGTCATGGCGGCTCCGGCTCCGGCTCCGGCTCCGAGTAAAATGATCCGGCTCCGGCGGCTCCGGCTCCGGCGGCTCCGGCTCCGGCTTCTACTCAGTACATCCCCTATGCGATCAATTAAATACGGGTGGAAGAAAAAGGGCGATGGGATTGGTACACGTTGCTTCTGTATTTGTATAATAAGGCTATTTGAATACCACATTGTTTCACGCCTTCAACTGTCAAACCGAACTAGGTAAATAATTGTTCCCTCTTAAGAAAAGGAGCCGGAGTCGCCCCCTTTTTTGACGGCTCCGGCTCCGGCTCCGGCTCCGGGATATATTGTTTCACGGCTCCGGCTCCGGCTCCGGCCCCGGGCAAAATATGCCGGCTCCGGCGGCTCCGGCTCCGGCTCCGGCTCCGGCTCCGCATCCCTGCCTGCGTGTCATATTTTTACTATTTAGTTTACTACGAGTAAAATAAACTTAACATTACACAGTTTCCACTTTTAAGCACAGCACAGCAACGTAGAAAATAGGCATATTTTTACTTTAAAATGCAAATGCAAACATGAAACGTATGTACCTATAAAGATATCCAAACGTTTTATCCACGCCTTATTACGAGCGAGCGAGCGCAGCGAGCGAAGCGAAGTCTTTTCAATATAACGGAAAAATCTCAGTATGAGCGGCCCGGCCGCGAGTTACCTAAGTGTGGAACTACAAGTCGATTCTAGGGCTCTGATTGGTGACTTTGGTCGGGGGATGACGCTTATAGCATGACGTCACTCGCGTACTTGGCCGGCGGCGCGGCGCAGGCGCGCCGAGCCAACCCAGAGGCTCTCAAACTCAATTGTACAGATCCTGCGCATTGAATGGCGAAACTTCGGCGAGTTCGCTTGAGTTTGGAAGCCCTTGCCAGAGAACTGGAGACGGCCGGATTATTTGCTGGACAGTGGGCAGCGCAGATGGCGATTGACGGTGCCAAAAAGATGATAGGGAAAAAGGGGTTGAGACTTGAGCAGTGAATTATAAGCCTGTTGCATAGCTGAGTGGTAAATTGTAAAATACTTAAGGTTTGAAGAGATGCAGTGTAGTTTAGCCGACTCAGGGGCATTCTGCCGTGTTATGTAAGGCGGAAGGGTCGCAACTCGCAAGTCGTTTGTTTACATGATTGCCTGATTAAAATGTAAAGCGTACCTAATGTTTAGTTGATAATACAGCGAGGTTGGGCATCTGCTCAATCCATTTCTTCTCTGCAATAGTGCATTCGCCACTGTAAGTCATTGTAAGAGGCACTGGGCTGCGCCGCCTGTTAATTATTCCGAAACCACCAGTGAATTGTCACAGTCACTCACAACAACACGAATCGTTCAGTCGTGCGCTGGGGGTCCGACAAGTTTGAGTGTGCTGCAGAATGCAGACTGGACCGCCGAGAATATAACACTTTCGTCTCCCTGGGCGAGCGGCGCATTGGAGCCGAAGGAAACTACTGTTTTTTTTTTTTGTGGGGAAGATACCCATGTTTGAAAATTATGTTCTGGAATGATGCGATAAGGAAAAGGACGGTTTCTTGAATTGAGGGCTGTGGAGAAGAAGCAGATTTTCTCATTTGCTACCCGATACAACGCGAAAAGACGCAAATGTTGCACATTGGGCTTAATAAGTCTAATAAAAGATAAGGGACTTCGTGGTCGTGAATCATGCCTAACTGACCGCGACCCAGATATTTGCCACTGCAGGTAGGTACTAGGTAGGTAGATACTCATTTGCAAACAGAGCGTTCCACCAACCCTCGCCAGAAATTCAATCAGCAGTTGCTTATCTTAGAACGTTTGAGTGCACCTATCAACCTTTAAAAATGACGTCCTCCCTTTCAATGGTTCGTTCGAAGACACAAAGCCAGTATCAGCCAAGCAGAAGCAATATCGGAATCCATTGCGCAGTGTGTCGACTGTCGGATGTGCCCATCCACATAGCATAGCACACACTGCTAAATGCAGGTACGCTCTTCTACACATTAGGTATTCGAAGAAGAAACGCATGAAATGTGATTAATAGCTGCAGCAGAAGTTTGGCGTCCGATGCCTCTTCGCCAAGTTAAGACCATGCCAATCTCGGCCAGTCTGCCGCCGCGCCGGCACTGGCCGTGGTGTGACGTCATCCGGCCGGCTCGGCGCTGGGTAGTTCCACACTTAGGTAACTCGCGGCCCGGCCCGGCCTGTAACGCTTTTGAGAGGCTTATATCTCAGCAACCGCTGGACCGATTGGCCTGCGGTCTTTTTTGCTGGGTAGCCCCATCCCTTCTACCCCGTAATTGACTACTTTTGATACATCTCAGTGACCGTCGTGGCACGTGCCACGTGAAAAGTCAAGGGTGTTCAAGCAGTTTTGCAAAAGCAATGATTTTAGAGGCCCATATCTCAGCAGCGGCTTGAGCGATTGTCTTGCGGTAATTTTTATAGGGTAGCTGCATCCCTTCTACCAAAGGGCGGATACTCTTGGTCTATGTGAGTGACCCCCACTGCACGTGCAAAATACAAAAAGAAGAGGTGCCAAATTTGTTCCCATTTCAGTAACTCGGTAATTACTGGGGCGATTTCGCTGAAACTTGGCATACAGGTAGGCACCCACCAGGCAATGCATTCCCATGTGTTGCGGTTAGGGTGCTACTGCACGTGCGCACGTGCAGGGGGCGTTTCCAGATCTCGAGAACGGCTGGGCCGATTGCGCTCAAATTTGGTACACGGTTGGGGACCGGTTAGTAGGGTGCCGTGCAAAAGTCATTTTGGACCCCGTTTGCACATGCGCACGTGCAGAATGCCGCTTCCAGATCTAAGGAACGGCTGGGCCGATTGCGTTCAAATTTGGCACACCGCTAGTGACCGGTTAGAAGGGTGCTTTGCACAAGCCCGCTGGAAGTATACCCTCTCGCCCTTCCGCACGTGCAGGGCTCACTATCTCGCTCGCTCGTCCGTCGCCCAAAAGGCGTTTTACTGGTATTTAATATAAGGGGATTTTTTACCGGTTCAGGAGTGATGTGTAGAAAGACGTCGCCGATGGCTGCAAACAGCCAGTAGCGGCGCAGAACACCTTCAATTAAGGGGGGGGGGGCACTGCCGACTTTTGGTCCCATTCTTTCCATGCAACGCCCATAGGGCTAATGTTAAAATGCCAAAATCAAAGGGGGGGCACAGTACCCAGGTGCCCTATGGTTCCCCAGGTTCTGCAGCCTATGCAAACAGCATTTTTTACGTATGATAACAGCATTATTGCGAATTGACACACACAGAGAGTTAGATATAGCTCACCGTGCCGGCGGTGAGATTGTTCATCTCAGCAAACCGAGGAATGTCCACCGAAACGTCTTCCTGACGAATAGCCATCTTCCTGAAAAGGTTGAATATAACATAACAGTAATTAAAGGCCACATGGAGTTCATGCTCCGTCTGGAAGACAATCCCATGCAAATGATATGAAACAGTACCTATGCATCGATAGAAATTATTAGTGTAAGTCAAGGGTTAAACGATCATTTCTGAGGCCGTCAACAACCCTCTATTGGTTATGGCTGATTGGTAATAATATTAATCAAATGATATTACGGTAAATAGTTTTGGTATCATCACCTATGTCATGACTGGCTGCGTCGAATGATTTACCTCTTCTTGAAACCTGACGTTCTTGCTGAACTCAGGACAAACCAAAGGTCACGCCGCACTCGCGTTTAGTTTAAAAAATCAAAATTTCCGATGAACTCAAATGGCCTCATAAACGTCACATTTGACATCACACAAGTGTCAAAGTCCAAAATGCAAAAAGTGAACAACAGAACTGGCTCGTAGGGTGAGAAATCTCTATTTCAAAATAAAATATATTATTTTCTATATTTTAATATTAGGAAGAACAATTCAGTTTTAAAAGAGGGAAATGGCCCGTGCAAGGCAGTTTTTTCGGGAGGAGAAATGGAATATCTTTGCCTAGGGTGATCGTTGGGCCGTAAAAGCCCCTGATTTGTGCTGGTCTCAGCTCAAGCTACGGAACTGCTATTCCAGTTCAAAACCCTCATGTGAACTATTTCCTTTAACAGAACTGAGGTATTCTAAATTTGTCGTCCTAAGCGAGCAAGAAAAACCGTCATGGATTGGGCGGCAACAGCCCTTTTCTCGGCTGATGGCATAAGTCCTTCTAGGTGCAGGTGGCTCCAGCCCTTCCGTCAGCAAAGAAGCATAATAGCATAATCGGCACACTCCAAGCGATCCTCTATCAAGTGCTGGTCAACCTACTCAATAAGCTGCACCAACAAACCAATTGGACCGCGTCATAAAGTGACAGGGCGTATCCTGCGAGCGACTAGTCGTCGCGTGTATTTTACTCAGTTTCATTTTGATAATGTCCTCGCCGCCTACGTACTATTCAAGGGCGTTGACATACAGACAATGCTTCTGTCAGACCTATTATAGTGAAAGTCACAATTACAGTGACGCGGAACGGGTGTTTGAAATTACAAGCTCACCAGCACATTAAAGTTAAGATCTTAATGAGACAGCACGAAATGAACTAATCAACAAATACGGAAAGTATTCCCTCATTATACACTATACAGGGTTATAGTATTGAGTTACCCATGCATTCATACGACCGGGCAAATTCAAAAAGCAAATTGACGTCCAGTCCCTAGTCAAAACGTGAAGCGCATCGCTATGCAAAAATTGTTGGGGACGGTGCAGGTCAAATTATATTTATTGGGACGCCGCTATAGTTTTAGGCCGTTCTATTGTGTAGGCGTAAATAACCTGAGTTGTCCTCGCCACCGCTAATTTTTAAGCACTTCCCGAAGGAATAAAATCGCTTTGTTTCCTCACTTGCTATGCATCCTTTAATTCAAGTCAGCACTATAGAAGTCAATCGCAGTGGCGGCGGAAGGTATTCTAGGATAGGGGTGCAAACGATATTGAAGCGCCCCTTCCCGCTGGGCGCCCCTTACCATATACACGGTTGTAGTAAGACAAACAGTGAAGAGACGTTTGACAATGTGTTGTACCTGTTAACACGTTCAGAATTACAGTTTTTATGTAACGAGAAATAGTTAGGTACATTCCATAGCGTAAATGTAACCTTCATAATGTTCGTTTAGAAACAACCTCATCACCATATCATAAGATTCTCCGAATAAGGCATATCGAAAAGAGTTCCACGGTTCCAATACCTTCGTGTGGACTAGTGAATAACCCGCGCCCCAGTGGCGGTCTCAGCCAACTTCGCCCTAGTGGGGGGGGGGGGGGCATATGTTACCACCCACCTCTAACTCAAAAACTAAGAGGGCTAGAAAGACGCGGTAAAAAGCAGTCGATAGCTCTTAATGCGTACGTTTGAAAGTATTTCGATCATTTTTCATCTTAGAGCAATATTGGGGTCACTAGAGGTCATCAAAGGTCAAAATTTGCCAATGGTCATTATATTTTTCAGAAAACATGCCATTATCCCAGGAACTATGGTAGCTAGAAAGGGGGACCATCAAAGCGTCCAAAACCGCAGCATCCAAAGTACGCAACATCCAAAACCGCAGCGTCCAAGGTACGCAACGTCCAAAATACATCCAAAATCGGGTATATAGGGAGCATTCACAACGTCCAAAACCGAAACATCCAAAACCGCAACATCCAAAAACGTATCATCCAAAAAAGCAACATCCAAGGACGCATCATCCAAAGTACGCAACATCCAAAGTACGCAACATCCAAAGTACGCAACATCCAAAGTACGCAACATCCAAAACCATTAGGTTAGGTTAGGTTAGGCTAGGTTAGGTTAGGTTAGGTTAGGCTAGGTTAGGTTAGGTTAGGTTAGGTTAGGCTGGGTTTCCTTATCCCCGGTAGGCAAAAATCAGTAGGTTAGGTTAGGTAAGGTTAGGTTGGGTTAGGGATAGGCAAAAATCAGTAGGTTAGGTTAGGTTAGGTTAGATTAGGTTAGGTTAGGTTGGTTTTGGATGTTGCGTGCCTTGGATGTCGTGGTCTTGGACGTTGTGGTTTTGGAGGTTACGTACTTTGGATGTTGCGTCTTTGGATGTTGCGTTTTTTGGATGATACGTTTCTGGACGTTGCGGTTTTGGATGTTTCGGTTTTGGACTTTGTGAATGCCCCCTATAAACCCGATTTTGGACGTATTTTGGACGTTGCGTACTTTGGACGCTGCGGTTTTGGATGTTGCGTACTTTGGATGCTGCGGTTTTGGACGCTTTGATACGAACCCGCTAGAAAAACGCATGGAAAAGCAACCGATAGCTTTTGAACTGTTCACACACACACAGCTTTTGAACTGAACACACACAGGCGCCCCTTTTTCGCATGGCGCGCTTCTCGAGTGGCTGCGCCCTCCTAGCCTTTATCGCCTGGCAAGATTATATTCGACAGGGTCGGCAGCATCTGCCTTTGTTTCAGATAAGGATACCCTCCACTCTTCAGCGTATCAAAAGATACTTTTCCCACGTCATTGCCACCCTCTTCATGTCACAAGTGCCTTTATCAGTTGCGGTGTCGCACTGCTCAGCTTTATGGCTGCCACACCTCTTAACTTCCTGCCTCCTCTACAGATTTTCGAGGCGCCCCTTTCCATAGCTTTAGGGTGCAGGTGCCCCCCTTGCCCCCCTGCTTCCGCCGCCACTGGTCAATCGCCGAGTATTTGTCCCAATTTACTGACAATTTCTATTCTTAATATAAATGCACCTTGATCCATATTTCCGCTCATTTACCTAAGTGAATAGGTACTCATGGCGCATCAAAGGGAGCAAACGTTTACAGGTGAAAGCATCAGAGAGCAAAACGTTTATAAAAGCATGCCCTCCACTTACAAGCCAGAAGTCGTTTAGAGTCGCTTTTCTGTCGAGCTTCTCTCTCGTGACGAAAGACGGCTGGCTTTGTGGACCTGAAACCTGTCGTGAAGCAGACCTTTGATCCGGCACTTCAAACTAGTCTCCCAAAGGTGCCGACACTTCTGAGTGAATTCGTTATAGGTGCGGACACTCAAATCTCGCGGTCACTGCACTCGTATGGACACTCCGGCTCCTGAGTTCCCGCGTCCACGGACGCTCTGGATCGACCAGCGCCAGCCGTCCCGACACTCCGAGTCGGGGAGAGGGAAAGAGGGCGCGCTGGGTGTCCGCTGCCGCTGGCCGGGTCACCAGGCGAGGCGCAGTTCGCGCCAGGAGCGGAGCCGGCTCTCAACACCTCCCTCCGCCCCTCTGCCCCTCCCCCCACATCACTCCTCCCCCACAACACCACCGACACAGCCGGACGACCCACGGGCGGCACCAGGGCGCCTCTGGACAGAGACTATCCGGAACGTTCTGGTTATGAGAGAGCTCAGCTGAGGTTGGGCTCATAAAAGCGTATACAGTTTACCTTAGGATGTTGCCTGTTTTGGAAGAAGTGCTAAGTGACTAGTTCTGCATATCGGTGCGGCAGCCCGGTGCACTCACTGGTCTTGGACGCTGCCGGGGAGGGGGGGGGGCATTGCCCCAAATAAGTTTCTTTAAATTTCAAGTACCTTCTCATCGGATTTGATTCCTTACGCACTGCTGTGTATGTAGTTTAAAATACTTTTCCCTAAAACTGTTTAGTTTCGTTTTATTCTCGAAAAAAACGCAAATTTGCGGTGATTTTCGGTCCTGCGGAAAATAATTTGTCCCGAATACTGCCCCCCCCCCTGGATCCGCAAGTGCCCTGATATGGATTTTCGTGTGATCATGAAGAACTTCTTACATTTTATTTTTACGTTTAACCCCCGCATGTGTGCGGCGTTTGCCAGCTTCTATTGTGTAGGGGGGGTCGGTTGGACCCCCCCCCCCTTGCCGTTTGGCCCCTGATCGAGCTAGAGCTTCGCGGAAAAAACGAGCGTGTTGCCCGTGACGAGAGGAAGCCGATGATACCCAATTTTAAGGTCCTAGGTCATTGGTTGACCTTCCAGGTCAGGTCAATGACCCAAAGTCGGGAAAATCGGGACCTATTAGAAAGTCGTAAAGTGTGGCTGCTAAGGGGTTTTTCGGGGTGCTGATCACGAATATCGTGTTAGTTTTTATCACAGATGATGTCTTTAAGCATTTAGACCAGGTCGGGTCAGGTCAGGTCAGGTCAACCAGTATGGGTTGTGACGGGTATTCGTAGTACGTGTCAACCGCCTCTGACAGCTTCGTAACATGTTACGAAGGCACCAAAACTACTTCGTAAATGTTCAAATGGTTGCTAAATTCGAATTCAGCTCCAAAAACTAGCCTAGAAACATGTAAAACTCGAAAAAGTGAACCGAGGTCACCCGAGGTCACCAAAGGTCAATGACCTGACCTGACCTTCAGGTGACCTTGACACCCATTCTAATGCATGGGAGCAACATCAAATCACATGTTTGAACGTTTGAAACCACGAAAAGCTTGCAAACGCGCGGCTAATGCGAGCCGACATACGCGGAATCGCGATTCCGGCCAAACATGGTCTCGGAAAAGAGGTCACAGGTCAAAGGTCATTTGGGTCAGGGTCATGAAATTTTCAGGGTAGGTGTAAAATTGATCAATGAGAGGGTACTGAAAGTTTCGTCGCGATCGGCCGCTTTTTACGCGAGTTATTCGCGAAAAACCATGGGGGGTCCATCCGACCCCCCCCCCCCCCCCCTACACATGCGAGGGTTAACTATTTAAATCAGGTGGTTCATAATCAAAACGGTGCGCCAATGGTAAAAGAAATAATTTTTGCTATTTTTCTGTGCCTATACCTACTGAGCAATGAACAACCATAGGTTTTGACAATTTATTCAAATGCGGCGACTTTTTGCGGTATTAGGGGTGATGGACCCTATCATATAAGACCTTTTTATGATCGGAGTACCTATTTAGTGTAGGTTTCACCTCAAACGCTAGATGAAAACCATGTAATGTTTCGACACAGACATTTGCATTTGCTCTATAACATTAGAAAGCGTTTCCTGGGCTTACTATGTACGACACATTTTTTTTCTGGCATTAGCCAGAAACCCGTAAGCAATTACGCAAACGTTTTGTGCGGTTGAGCCAGAGTGCCTGTCCATATGATGAGGCACATGGACGAGCCTCACACAAACCGACATTATGTTCCTCTTCGTATCGGTAGTATGGAAAGGAAAAAATTACGCTAGTTCACGCAATTTAGTGCCGTCGTTCTCAAACTTTCAACTCTAATCTTGTGCATTTTTGCGTTCTGCTGAAGGAATGCCGTATAGAACGGCGATCAGAATCGCCAACACTTCCCCCTGCTCTCTGCAGTCCTAGCGTGTTCACGTCTAATGTTCGGGTGTTCCTATTCAATCATTCAGAAACGCCATAGCCACTCGCCCTCGCAATATATTTCGCAGACTCATTCAACTTCTTGAGAACCATCGACAAAAATAGAACATCTTGTTTGTACACAGAGCCATTGATACAAGCAGCACGTCTAGAGAAGCAGGCGACCTGCACCGGTCAACAGTCGACCCTTCGACCGCTCGCCGGTCTGCAGCGAACTGCGCCGAACTGCCCGAGCCGTCAGAAGAAGACACTGACAACCACATCACAATCATCACAACCAAGAGCAGCACGCCACAGCACCGTCCATCCAGCGGGCTGCGCGACAACAACAACCTCAGTAACATCGCCACCAGCGCGCTCACATTCTCAAACAGGCATCACAGGAGGCGCCGTCAGTAGCGGACACAGCAGAGCGGGGCGCCAACAACTGAAGCAAGAGATCAAGCAATGTCTGCGACACAAGGTCTCGCCAACATTACATAGAGCACCTCAGTGCTGAACCACCCAGTAGCTATTCAGTACAAACGTTGCCGTGGGTGTCAGTTTGGCCCATGGTGCCCGGAATCCACAGCAATGTGGAGACGATGGCGCATGGATCAGTGCACCGCCTTAGCCCTCTGACGCCTCACATCCACACCCGGAACAGACACAAAGCCAATTACCCCTACACCGGTCAGAAATATGTGCTCTTAGAGGTCACGACGCACAAGCACAGAACAGCTGTTGGCACTCAGATATAACAACCAGACATTGGACAGCTTACAATGCACAAAGCGCTCCTCGCAGTACCCAATAAGCTCATAACACTAAGAAACAGTTAACAGAGATATATCACACCGTGAAGCATTGCTCATCACACGAAATCCGCTCCTCATATAGGTATACATAATTCGGAATGACTCGCTCTATATGATTGTGCGACATAGCCGTAACGTAAGTTATCACAAGCTCTCGTCTGTAAATATGCTTATTCGGGAGAGCTAGACATCTTATTTTCAACATGTAACAATAAATTCATCCTGCTTATGTACAGCATTAGCAGATGAACTCAAAGTGCCATTTTATACAATGATTGGCGAGGTGCATTCAACAATGCATTGCAATTACACGTACAAACTTAAATTAAGAAAAACTTCCTCTTCAGTTTGACGAAAAGTAATGACATTTCTCTCTAAATATCATCATTCTTAGTAAACGTCCGTGAGACATTAGATTGTCAATGTGCAAATGACACAGGCTTGTGAACGGCTGTTCTGCATCAATACGTACTCCGAGAAAATGAGCCGCTGACACCGTGACGCTACGCATAGGTAGCTTTTTAGCTCTAACCGATAAACCTGGAGCATAGTTGACGGTAAATGTGGCATAGACATCGTTTGCTGATAAAAGTTTACCATAAGTGTAGATTTGTAAATGGCTCTAATAATTTATTGTAGGCCTAATATATCATGAAAATGTGTAGGCATTAGGAAATGAAAATGGCAAGATAAAACGGTGGTATAGTGTCTTTTTTTAATAGGCGAGAAACCCGAATGCCCCTTTGATCACCTCCAACACGTCACAACTAATCCATAAGTGACGAGGGGCGTATCACGCGGTGAAAGCGAGCATGGTGAGAGAGTGCCTGCGAGGTCTGAATTTCATCAGGGCTTAAAGGGCGCTCATCACAGACCCAGCGCAGGGTCAGTGATCAGCGGTGATGCACTGCAAGCGCGAACGTTGCACCACGAGTCGTCATAGGGCAAATATGTTCTTTTTTCGGAATATTGGGCATCGTTTATCTAAACTATGCCGGACGAGCAGCGCGCCCATCGCTCCATGCTCGGAGTCGGAAGGCCAGCCAGTGGAACGTTTCAGGAAACCTTGGTGTGATAATTGGTTCTTAGATAGCCCTATACCTAAAAAGACAACATATATTTGCTGATGAAAATAAGTTTATAAAGATGAAAACTTAGATAAAGAAGGTTGCTTTGAGGGAAATCCATTTAATTTGGATGAGCATGAAATAACGCCACGAGGCCTACACTTGCTTCAAGCATGGGGCACCTGTCAATGCCTAAACGATGCTATGCTAATAGTTGGGTTTGAGATCAGGATTGGTTTATCATTGCCTCATTAAACGCCCCTCGTGCTTAGATGAGCGATTTCAATCATAACATGTTCACTTCTTTCCACCATTCTAGTCATTCCGTGGGCTCGACCGTCCGTGGCTGTTTGGCGACCTCCTTTTTCTACAGACACAACACTCCGGGACAAACAATGCCGGAGGGACAGACGCCTCCTCGTCCGTGTCAACCCTACTCAGGACCGGTCCGCCGTCCTTCTATGGAGGCGACGACCCTCCTGACACTGACTTATGAACCTCCGATCGTATCCCCAACACGCAGCCAGTCTAACGAGCGTCGCCGGCCTCGGGTCCGGTTGGCGAGCCCCCGGTAGTCGTCCCATCTCGGGGCCATCACATGTCCGATCAGAACACACCCCCTGCGAGAGGCGCCGCGCTCCCGACATCGGGTCTCGTGCATCGAGAAGCCGCCCTCGGCCGGGCTGATACTGTCGCGACAGGCGCCCGTCCTGTCGACAGGTCGATGGCGCCCATGGATAGCGCCTCATGTCGCGTCAGTGGGATGGCGTCGAGGTCATGACAGGTATCAGCTGAGGGGGGCGGGAGCTCGGCAAGTGGGCTGGTGGAGGGGGGGGGGGTGCAGGGATGGGATGGGTAGGGAGGATTGGAAAGGACACGGAGGTGTGAGATAAGGAAGGGAAAATTATTAATCAGTGGAGATAGAGAGAGAGAGAGAGAGGGGGGGGGGTCGGAAAATGGGGAAAGGGTCAGGGATGGGACAGACGGAGGAGTGACACAGGTCTAGACTCGAAAATGGCCT